TTATCACTTCCACCCAAACAGCCTATAAGATATCAATTCAAAAATACTTTTAAATATAGTTTTTCACCCTTCTTCTCTTCTTTTTTATAACAATGTTATATAGAAATATGAATACAAATTAGTTTCCTAAAGTCCACCGAGTCCAAGATACGTCTCTCACAGGTTTTATAAGGCAAACCAAAATCTCTCTCACATGTCGTCTTTGATTCTTCTTCATTTCCTCATTGGTAAGTAGGCTGTCAAAGTTTTTTTGTAATCCACTTAGGCCCACAAATGTCCCCAACAATCTTTCACAAAATGTCCCAAGAGTTCTTGTAGAATTATTTTAGTCTCTCCTCCTCCAATTATAATTTCAAAAATTAATCATGTTCCATCAAAGTAAGTTATAATCTAGACCGATTTGGCAAGTCTTTGTATTTTCCCAACTTCTAAGTTTTAAAAGTCTCAAAGGGAAGCAGGAAAAACAAAAGAAGGAGAAAAGAAATCCAAAGGTTATTCAAAATGTTCCCAGCTGCAGCCTGCTTACTTGGTTATTAACTGGTAGAGCCAGAGAGCTGCTAATTTTGCACATAGTTCTTCCACTCTCTGCTCCAGCCTTCCAGACTAAACAAGTTGCAGATGTCAAAAGAATGTTCTTCACTGTAATCCACATCCCAAGGTCATGTCTATTCACAAGTCCTTTCATTTTAAACACTTTCTCTGCCAGCAAGTACCAATAGATAGCACACTTGTTCTGTTTCCTCTAATTTCGTCCCTTACTTTTAAAGCTTAAAGTTTCCCTTTTTACAATCAAAAGTTTCAGAATTTGTTTAAAAAAGAAGACAACAGAAATTCACCCCAACTAATGCCTCAATTCCTTCTTTCTATCTCTTCCACATTTCTTGTAGCGAAATAGTAAATTCTTCTATGTCTCTTTTATTAATGACTGAGTGCCTTTTCGCCACCAAATCCGGAGGTGGAAGGTTGAAATCCCACCTCCTATTCTTTAGTCTCACTCTCAATTGAATCCAATTTTAAGGGAGAGACAAGTCTTTTCAGAGGTCAGAAAAATCTCACCTAGAACAAGCACACCACTCAACAATCTTCTTTTTTTAACTTTCTGGTCTGGCTGCCACAGCTTTCTGACAGCTTGTAATGGTTGTCTATCACTCCTCACCAGTCCGAGAGGTTTTTCTCCATTCCCACAGAGATTTGCGGTCTCTCTGTGGTTCACAGAGTGTCCTCTCTTCTTCATCAGCTCCTACAGGGTTGGCTAGGATCTCTATGGACCCCTGGGCAGGGGAATTTTGTTATTTTCCACAGAGCCCTATGGATTCCATCGTTTCACTGCGGCACTAGCCACGCCTCCCCATCTTTAACAAGTTTCTGATGGAGAGTGCAATCTGGGCAAAAGATGGGATGAACTGGTATTAAAAATTGACAAAACCTAGGAAACTCTGCAATTGCTTTCTGGTTTAAGGTGGAGCCCAGTCCAGCACTGCCTGGACCTTCTGGACCTCCTTTGTGTGAGGTACAGTAACCCAAATAGTCTATTTTGCTCTGGTAAAACTCACACTTAGAAAGTTTGACATATAATTTAGTGGCTCATAGTTTTTTAAGTACAGTCCTCACCAGCTTCACATGCTTCACCTTTGTTTCAGTGTAAAATATCATTTAAATAAATGTCATCATTTATTAATTGCATAAACATTGCAAGATCCTCCTGGAGGCCAAAAGGGAAGTGTTTGAACTGGAAGCATCCTAAAGGGCAGTTGAAAGAGGTTTTCCATTTGTCTCCCTCCCTGATCCTCACACACAGCTCCAGCTTAATGAATATTCTACTCTTAGCCAAGTGCTAACATGTTCTTCACAGTGGTGGGATTCAATTTTTTTTACTACCGGTTCTGTGGGCGTGGCTTATTTGGTGGGTGTGACTTGGTGGTCATGTGGCTGAGTGGGCGTGGCTTGGTGGTCATGTGGCTGGGTGGGCGTGCTGGGTGGTCATGTGGCTGGGTGGGAGTGGCCAACTTGACATCACTCACATCAAGGGGTGCCTTGCCTGGCCTCTCCTTGCCTCAGAGATACAATTTCCCTCTCTATTTATTTACTACTACTGAACATCCAAAATACACTATTTAATCCTATGTATATATGCCATATGTGTACATACATATTACATGGTGTAGTGCAGGGGTCCCCAACCGCCGGTCCGCGGACCGGTACCGGTCCGCGGAACAAGTCTTACCGGGCCGCTGGTTGCTGGGCGCCACCATCTTTTTTTGGTAAAAAAGTGCTTCCGGTGAGCTTTTCCGGGTAGAAAGCTCACTGGAAGCACTTTTTCATCAAAAAAAGATGGCGGCGCCAGCGCTTCCGGTGAGCTTTTCCGGGTAGAAAGCCATTTCTACCTGAAAAAGCTCACTGGAAGCGCTGGCGCCGCCATCTTTTTTGACGAAAAAGTGCTTCCGGTGAGGTCAAAAAAAGATGGCGGCGCCATCTTTTTCGTCAAAAAAAGATGGCAGCGCCCAGTTGATGCCGGTACCGGGCCGCGGCGCCCAGCTGATGCCGGTACCGGGCCGCGGTGTCAAAAAGGTTGGGGATCACTGGTGTAGTGTGTATAGGCACACAAAAAGATACACTATCTACTATATATACTGTGTGTATGTACACACGCGCACACACACAACCACGCACAGAGCTCTTCTAAAACTATATACATTCAACCTCACTGCGTTTGGAAAAACACACCCTGAGTCCACTTTCTGCCACACATTTAACTATAACTTCTGTATATTAAAACATTGCACATGCCTTCAGATTTGCTTCCCTAGCCTGCATATGACCGTTAGACTCAGAAGATGTCATGGATTGAGTAAAATATGGTGAAAATCACTTAACAGCACTCTTGCTTAGCAACCAAAATTTTGGGCTCAATTGTGATCATAAGTGAAGGACTATCTCTGTACCTCTGCATGGCAGCCTTGTTCTAATAAACTTTTCTGCCAATTTTCCTCTCTGTTAGAGGCACTGTAAGGTCTGGCAATACGCTTAAGCCAAAAATGAACCAAAACATAGACTTAAACGGAGGCTTGCAAATCAAAGAAAGCAGACTTTTATTCTTTGATTAAAGTGAAAGATCTGGGAAGAAGTTCCTAGCACATCACAAGAGACATGGGAGGAAAATTCTACAAAATACAGAAAAATGCCCTGTACCTTTAAGATTCTTAGAAGTGGAGTAACTGCAATGTAAAACTCTCTAACTCAATTGTTAATTACTCAATTTGTTAATCAATTGACCACAAGGAGGCTATTAACAGCATACTTTAAAGGTGTGGAATGGAGGTTTTTACATTCCCAGAGAGGTAACTTTCATTCCCATGGGGTGAAATGTATCAATCCAGGAAAACAGATGGATTCAGATTGATTTATATGGGACAATCATGTGTCTTAATAGGAGAGGGGTGTAACTGATTGCAGGCATGTATTTATAATTGTTTTACAACAAGTAAAAGGATTAAGAAAATCTTTTTTACAACAGCAAGATAACAAATGCCTATAGAGTAGCTCTCTATTTAATGCTATAATATATTTTACTATATTTATTTATTAATGTCCCCTTCAGCACCAAATTAATACAGATTCCAGATGATATAAGGTCTCCTGCTGGAGCAGGGGGTTGGATTAGATGGCCTCCAATGTTCCTTCTAACTTTGCTGTTCTATGATTCTTTAAGGATCTCCTGCTGGAGCCTGGGGTTGGACTAGAATAGGGGTCTTCAAACTTGACAGCTTTAAGACTTGTGAACTTCAACTGCCAGAATTCCTCTTCCAGTCATGTTAGCTCAGGAATTCTGGGAGTTGAAGTCTACAAGTCTTAAACTTGCAAACTTTGAAAACCCTTGGACTAGAAGATCCCTTCCAGTTCCAGCCCGAGATTCCTGTCCTATTTCAAAGAGTCTTCTGAAGCTAGGGTTTGTGTCCTTCCTTCTTCTCCTTTTTTTACTCCCTCCCTCCTTCCTGCTCGCTCTTTCTTTCTCTCCCTTCCTTCCATCCCATCTCTGTCTATCCTTTTTCTTTCTTTCTCCCTTTTTCTTTCTTTCCCTTTTCTTTTCTTTCTTGTCTCTTCCCTTCCCTCTCTTCCCATCTCTCTCTCTGTTTTTCTCTCTCTCCCCTTCCCTCTCTCCTTCTAAAACTAGGAAAGGAGACCCACCTGAAACAAACACACACACACAAACTTTCAAGCACCCAGAAGCGTTGCTCCTTACAAGGGTTCTTCCTGACCAGTCTCCTGTCCCACGTTGCCTGGAAAAGCTGACAGGCAAGGCTTCCGGATCCAACAAAGGGGCCTCCCCTTTGAGACTTCCAAAGACTTCCTCCCCTCCCACTTTTGGGGAAAGGAAAGGGCTGAGAACTTCAAGTGAGGTGAGTGCTGCAGCGTCATGCCCCCTCCCCCACCGGCAGCTCTGAGCTAGGGAGCAGTTTTCTGAGCAGCTCTGAGCAGGAAAGCAGTTTGGCTTTCCTGACTGCCTGAAATGTTACCTTGCTCCTGCAGCTGGTGGCAGAGGGAAAGGCAAGCCAGCCAGGTCAGAGCTGTTGCCACTCAGCTCCCTGCCAGCCCACATCTCATCCCCTGTCCGGATTCTCCAGCAGTTTTTGGGCTCACCTGCCGGGAGGCGCGGGGACCAGGTAGCATGAGGCTACTTTGCCTGCATCGCCCAGGGCAGCCACCCCTTCTTCACCAAACAAGCGTTTTGGCAGTTGTTGAGGGGGAGCTTCATTTGTTCAACTTCTACCTATCTCACCATTAGGCACCACCCAAAAAAGGAGGAGGTTAATATGGCCTAACAAGAAACAAGCAGCGGGGAAGATGCGAGAAGCGAAGCCAGAAAACGAAGCCAAGTCCACACTCCCACACCCCTCACCTGCTGTGTGCGCTCGCCCCTCCCCCACCGCTTCACTCCCGCTAACCATTTCCTTGGTTTCCCTTTTTTCCACACAAACTTCCTCCACCAGCGAGTTGTTTAGTTACAGCCTCTTTGGGCAATGAGGAATATCGAAAGGTGGAAAAAGGTTGCCACGCTCACCCTTTCTCCTAGCGCTCACCCACTCCTGCAAGCACCCTATTGCCTACTCCCATTAGCCCACCATTCTTCTTAAAACCAAGCAATCCTATTCTTCCGTGAAACACGTGTGCCCCTCCCTGCCAAGGCTGCATCTCATCCCCTGCCTGGATTCTCCGGCAGCTGCTGGGTCTCGCCTGCTGGGTGGGATGACCAGGAAGCACGAGGCTATTCTGCCTGCATTGCCCGTTGGCCAGCTGCCCCTCCCTTGCCAGGCCGAATGTTTTGGCAGAGTGAGGGCTGCCGCTAAAAGAGGCCCATGGGCTGGAAAGTACAGGCGGGGAAGGCTTGACTGCCTTTCGGACTCTGCTTGGGGCTGCCGCCTGCTTGACCACCTCCCCACCTTGGGTCCCGCATCAGCCCACGACAAGGGGACATGCTGCTTCCAGGCCGGCGGATGGGCAAGCAGACGACCCTCAGGGGAAGCATTTTCTCTCAGGCCTCCCACATGGAAGGCCCCACAGAAGCCGAAGCTGGGCCTGAAAGGCAGCCTCACCTCATCATGCCCCTCCCCCCCAGGCAGCCCTTTGGCTGATCGCAGCAAACCCAACATGGATCTTCCTTCCCCACCATTAGGGCTCAATCACAGCATTCTCACAGCAGCTGCCTGCACTCACCCAAAGCGCACAGATCGATGGGTAGGAGAGGAAGGGGCGATGTGGGCAGCATAGTGTCATGCTCTCTGGTTGCCAGCTGAGCCTGGGAACAGTAGGAGGCCCCTCCAAGATCTGGGAATGGGGGGGCTAACACGACTTGCAGGCTTACCCATGAGCAGCAGGCAGATCAGGGCTGCTCAGTTGGGGCACAGGCACCACATGGGGAAGTCAGGTTAGGCAAGCCATGAGGGCCCAGCGTGCCACATAGGAAGGGAGGAGTGACTGGGCAGGGCGAGCAGCGGGTGGGTGAGCTGCATGAGCGAGCGAGCGAGCATTGGGTGGGCGGGGCAACTGAGCGACCGGGGAACCAGTTCGGGGGTGTGGCCAGCCAGAAGTTGCTACCAGTTCTGTGACCCATGCCAAATTCTTGCTACCGGGTCGCCAGAACCACTGCGAACTGGCTGAATACCACCTCTGGTCCTTCATCAGAGACAGGGATAGATCCTTTCCATGCAGAACAAGGCTGGAACCGGTTGAGAGCGAGTCTGCTCATCTCCGAAGACAATCCCTCTCCCTAATTCCCAAGTGGTTATAGCAAAAACGAAAGCATGCAAAAAATGCCAGCAAGCTTTCCTTTCCTCCCCTCCCTCCCCTCCAGCAGAATGGCAGGACACAATGTTGGAACTGTGAGAACCTTGTCTACATTTAATAATAAAAGACTCTAGGAACAAGAGATATGAGGACCAGTCTGGTACAGTGATGCAGATGCTGAGTTTGAAACCTGGTCCCTGTGAGTTCTAGGCCTCCCTTTAGTATTAAAGTCACTGGGTGATTTTGAGCTAGTCATTGTCTCTGAGTCCAATTCATCTCACATGATTGTTGTGCAGAAAATAGGAGGTAGAACATTATGTATTTTTGTCAATTTGGCCATCTATCCACCTATCCATCTGTCATCTATAATTTTTTTATAGTTTCAAAGTTTTGAGGACATGTATTGATACAGGTAGTCCTTGACATATGATGACAATTGAGACCAACATTTCTGTTGCTAAGCAAGACAGTTGTCAGTGAGTTTTGCCCCATTTTACAACCTTTCTTACCACTGTTAAGTGAATCATTGTAGTTGCAGTAATATGGTTGTAAAGTGAATCTGGCTTCCCCTTTAACTTTGCTTGTCAGAAGGTTGCAAAATATGATCATATGATCCTGGGTATCATATAATCCTGGCAATATGAATCATTGCCAATTGATTCTGAATTTTCATCACATGATCATGGGGATACTGCAATGGTCATAAGTCACTTTTTTCAGTGCTACTGTTACTTCAAACAGTCATTAAATAAATGGTTGTTGAAGAATACCTGTACTAGTACAAAAGTGCTACTACAATAATTCTGTCAGATGATTTTTTTTAAATAAAATTTTATTGTACTTTTCCACATTTAAAAAAACCTCATATACAATCTTCGCAACACTGTGACATCAACATTTCCATTTAGGTCAACATTCATAAATACATTAATTTTTATTTCTATTGTCTAACAGTTATATCAGTAATCCCAGACTGTATAATATTCCATATTTCTCTATCTTGCAGTTCCAATGTGAGTTTGACCATCTCTGCACAATCCATTACTTTCTTATTATCATACTTTCGGAGGGGGAAGATGAATCTCTTTTACAATGTTTTATCTAATTTCTTTGTTTGAAGTTTTCTGTGAATTATTTGAATCAACATGGAGGAAATCTTCAATGCTGAGAAGTCTTAGATAGAATAAGGCTCAGTTTTAATGCTTTTGGGAAGCCTTAATACTTTGCACATCAGAAAAAACATATAACAGTTTGGAGTAGAGAGAGCAAACTGGAATTTTATTTTTCTTTTGTGGAGAAAGTCCAAAAGGACACTAGCATAAAAGTTTAAAAAAAAAAAACGGAACTGGAATTTATAACTGATAAATATTTGAAAGACAAATTAAACTATTGGAAAATATTTTGAAACACTGGATGTAACTTTGTGAAGGAAAATTGATGTTTGGTGTTAATTTTGATACTATTTAATGATCAGCTGAGAACTCTAGCCTTTAAAGCTGGAAGATAGAGTTGGGGGGACACCTACTGGTGATAAAAGGCACTACACAATAGAAGCAAATAGACTAAACACAACTGAAATTGAGAAGGATAGGAAAGGAGATAAGCAACATCTGGAAGGTCACTCTTGTTGTTTGGAACAGATGATATTTTCTTTTTTGAACTTCTTGAATTTGGTGGATTAGAACACAGATGGCTTTGAGGATTTGTTTGGAAACTGAGTGGATTGACTTTTTTTGCTTTTTGGCATCTTTTGGTTTCTTCTTTTTTGGATTATTGATTATTGGGTGTTTGGTGGCCATCTTGGATTACCATATTTTTTGACTGAATACTGTAATAAGTGAAAAAAAGAAGAGTGGAACAATATTTTTAGATCTTGCTATTAAGGCAATGGGAAAGTTGGTAGGCCTTTTGAATTACAAATACATTTCTGGATTATAAATACTAACTGATAAGAAGACAATTGCTGATTCCAAATAAACTTTTCCTTCTACCACTCCAACAGATTGAACTATAACGGTTACAAAATATTATTGACTTTGAAGAAACATTTTGTGACTGAATGAATTGGACTTTTATGCTTTTTTGTTGATGCCCAGACTTTTGGATTAATTTTTGTACTACTCCCGGGTGGGTTATTTGGGATTACTGTCTTTTTTGCATTGGAGAAATTTGACATTACAGGTTATGGTATATTTAGAGGATAAGAATTTAGAGAAAAGGGATAATGACAAGTGTTCTGAATATAACTAGAACTGGCAAAAAAGCATCACCACCAACATTGGCTGCTTCATCCATCAAGTCAAAGAACAATAGATACTATGCTGCAACAAGAAAAGATGAATACATCCCAAAAAGAAATACAAATGGTGCTCCTGTCCATTCAGGAGGCCATGGCAAAAAAATAGAATGAAATGAAGACTGATTTGGGAGAAATGAAGGGAGATTTGGGGGAAATGAAGGAACAGGTTCGTAACATGGATGACAGACTAGGGAACTTTCAGCAAATGATAACAAAAAATGAACAAAGAATCCAGAAAATAGAGGAGAAATCAGAAGAAGCTGAGAAAATAGTAGATGAGATAAATCAAAAACACAAGCAAATAAGGATCTAGAGGACAGAGTTATAATGCTGGAAAAGGTGGCTACTTTTTATGATTCCAGAACACAGAAGAGGTTAAAGAGGAAAATCTCCCAGATGTGATTATAGAATTGTTGGCAAGTGCTTTAAAAATTGAAAAACAAGAAATGGTTGCAGAAATAGATGAAACATTCAGACTAAATACAAACTACTGAGAGAGGTACATGTTAGATTTCTCAAAAAAACAATGAGATGAAATATTTAAAAAGGCAAGAGATGAATCACTGCAATACAGAGGGAAGGAAGTTGTAGTCTTGAAGCAGATCCCTAGAAGGGTATGAGAGCTATAAAAGCAATATCACTTTCTGACTGCAAAACGAATGGAAATAATAAAACCTAAGCTGAACCTAATGGAAAAAGAAGAATTGGCACAACAAATTTAAAAAGCAAAACAAAACTTTTTTGAAAATGCCAATAAACCAGGAAGATGGCTAGCATACAAGCTGAAAAAAGAGAAAGAAAAAAACTGATAAGAAAATTACAAGATGAGAGGAGAATCTTACAACAACAAAATGAGATTTAAAAGAAAATAATTCAGTTTTATGGGAAATTATATCATCAAGAAAAAATTTCAGAGGAAAAGATAAAGCAAAACTTAGAAAAAGCTTAACTACCAAAATGTCTGAAAATATGAAAGCAATGTTAAATGAAAGAATAACGATGATGGAATTAACAGAGGCAATAAATAGAATAAAATAAACAGAACAATAAAACACCAGGACTAGATGGGCTACTTGCGGAAGTTTATAAATATTTACAGGACTCACTAACTTTGTCAATACTAGAGGTTTACAATGAAGTTCTGTTAGAAGGTAAGATACCAAATTTGTGGATAGAAACAAATATAACATTAATCCCAAAAGTAGATTCAGATTTAACACAAATAGAGAATTATAGGCCTATATCACTACTAAATGCAGACTACAAGATATTCAATAATAGAAGAAATATTACAAAGATTCCTGAATGAATTTATCTACTCAAACCAAAATGGATTCTTACTTAAAAGACAAATTAAGAATAACCTAAGATTTATTTTAGATATGATGGAATATTATGAAGTACACTCTGAAAAATAAATGGCATCGCTTTTTCTAGATGCACAGAAAGCATTTGATAATATAAATTGGCAACTTATGTTCCAACAATTAGAATGTATGGATTGTGGTGAGAAGTTTATAAATATAATTAAGACAATATACTCCAAACAATTAGCAAAAGTGATAGTGAATGGGGAACGATGGTAAATTTTAATATTAAAAAAGGCACAAGACATGGATGCCCACTATCCCCATTACTGTTTATATTAACACTGAAAGTGCTAAATAGAAACATTAGACAAGATCCAGGAATAAAAGGTTTGGAAATAAAAAGAGAAAAATACAAACTACAAGCTTTTGCAGATGATTTTGTATTTGTACTAGAAGAACCACTGGAAACTGGGTTATTTGCGGGTTATTTGTTCCGGGTGGGGGTTGTTCAGCTTGCGCTAGGGGTGTCCCTCTTTCTTTAAGCTAATGGGAAAAATAGAGGAATATGGAGAAGTGGCAGGACTGAGAATAAATAAATAAAACATGAAAGTACTATTTAAGAATCTTACAGATAAACAAAAAAACAGAATTGACAAAGAAAACAGACCTTCAGGTAGTTAAGAAAGTAAAGTACTTGGGAATTTACCTAAGAGCTAGATGTGTAAAATCAAAGAAGATGATACAAAACTGATACAACAAATAAAAATGGACTTGGAGAAATGGAAAAATCTGCAGTTATCAATGGTAGGGAGAATAGCAAACAACCATAAAAATGAATATACTGTCAAAACTATTGTTTTTGTTTCAAGCAATTCCTATAAAGCTAGAGAAAAAATAATTTTGAAATTCAGATGGCAAGGAAAAAGAGTGAGAAAAAGACTGAAAATGTTGCAAGAATCTAAAAATAATGGGGGCTTTGCTCTGCAGGATTGGGAGATCTACTTTTAGGCACCAACCTGGATGAAAGAATGCATAAACCTTAGAAATAGAAAATTGTTACTGTTGGAGGAACATGATCTTCAATTGGGATGGCACACCTTTCTGTGGTATGATAAAAATAAAATACATAGATACTTTCAAAGACATTATGTTAGGAATGCCCTACTCTAGTATGGGGAAAAGTTAAAGCAAAAAATTACATGAAAATACCACTTTGGCTTTCTACAATGGAAGCTCTGATACATCCAAATGTGGTAAATTTGGAAAAAATTGTAACATATAAAGATATGTTAAATGAGAAAGGGGAACTTAAAAGTAAACAGGAACTGCAAAATCAGGGGGTGGACCTTGCATGGTGGTCACACTTGCAAATACAATTAAGATATGAAAAAGATGTAAAGGTTTCTATAAACAGTCAACAATACTTGATCAAATACTACAGGTGTGGATGAAAAGCTAATAAAGAAAATATGGTACATAGTTATCTATTAAGTCTTAAAGTGGAAGATGAACAAGTGAAAGAAACATAACATGGGCAAAAATAGTTGGATATACTATAGAATTAGATAACTGGCAAAAACTGTGGGATAGAAACTATAAATTGACAATAGCAACTACATACAAGGGAAACCTGTATAAAATGTTCTATAGGTCAGTGGTCACTAGTTCTATGTGAGAAAATTTTGGTGGTCTGCAAAGAAATGTCCCCTCCAAAGCACCCCCCCAAAGCACCCCCCCCCCCCAAAGCAATTTGTTAGATCTGGGGTAGATCGGTTCGAATGAGACGCGAGACCATTCTAGTGAGTTCAGCTCTTTATTTAGAATAGGAACAGTCTGGGGAATACAAGCCGCGGCAGCCCTTCATATAGGGCTGGCTCGCGGCTCGGCGGCCAATGGCAGCGCTTTGAATCTCCCACGATCGGCACAGCCAATCGCGGTAGATTCTTAGCGCTCCAATCACGGCCGGGGTTTCTACCAATCAGGTCGTTGTCCGTCTGGACCAATCAGTTGTGAGGGTTTGGAGTATGCTAATACAGCACACCCCTCCCCTCTTGGTTTCGTCTGTCGGTGCGTCGTGACATAGTCGTGCAGGTAGGCGGGGCTTCGTACCTGTCTAGTTGACCTGCGCAACTCAGTTCTCGTTTGATTTTCGACCGGTTCGGAGGCCTTCTCTGTCGCTCTGGTTCCCAGGGTTGGAACCGCCTGGAAGGTCGGGCTGGGCCTTTCTTGGTAGCTCCCTCCCGGTCTACCCGGGCTGGTTGAGCTGCCATCTCTGTTGTTCCCGCCGGATCTTTCCGGGCTGGTTGCACTGGCCTGGCTGCTCCTTCCCGGTGACGATTCCGGGGTTGCCTGTTCTGTTGGTCCCGCGTTTACTGGTGAGTAGGACCGGTTTATTTGCGGGTTATTTGTTCTGGGTGGGGGTTGTTCAGCTTGCGCTAGGGGTGTCCCTCTTTCTTTAACGCTTGCCGTTTCCCCCCCCTTCTAGTTTCTTGCTCGGGTGTATGGTTGTTGGCTATTCTGGACCTTAGTTGGTTAATGTGCCGTTTCCAGTTTTTCCCGTCGCTTGTTTCTAGTTGGTATGATACGGGGCCGGTTATTTGGGTGATTGTTGCTGGTATCCAGAGTGGTTCCCCCGACAGGTTTTTTGCGTATACGGCATCACGTATGTTGAATTTTCTGTGCTTGCTGGAGGAACCCGGGGGTTTGTGAGGGGTGTATGTGGGGTGCATTCTATCTAGTGTTGATCGTAGTTTTCTGCCCATCATTAGTTCTGCTGGGCTTCTATTTGTGGTTGTGCTAGGTGTAATATGTTGGATGAGGAGCATTTTATTGATTTTATCTTGTATGTTGGTTGTTTCTATTTTCTGTATGGCTTTTTTGTGTATTGGACCATGCGTTCCGCCCGTCCATTCGCCGCCGGATTTGCCAGCGCGGTTAACGCATGGCGTATGCCCTGGCCTGCCAGAAATTGTTCAAACGCTAGTGCGGTGAACTGGGGCCCGTTGTCAGATACTATTATATCTGGCAGGCCGTGTGTGGCAAAGAGTTTGCCCAGTTTCCTTATTACCGCCTCCGTTGTGGTTGATTTCATGGTGCTTACCTCCAGCCAGTTGGAGTAAGCATCTACTGTGATGAGGTACATGTGCCCCTTGGTTGGCCCCGCGAAGTCTATGTGAATCCGGGACCACGGTCCTTTTGGTGTTTCCCATTTATGTATTGGAGCGGCGGGAGGACTGGGTCTGGATTCTTGGCATTGTTTGCATTTGGCTACCCAGGTTTCGATCTGTTTGTCCATGCCTGGCCACCATGCATAGCTTCTGGCCAGGCTTTTCATCTTAACCATCCCTGGGTGCCCCTCATGCAGCATACCCAATACCCTTTCTTGCAATGTTTCCGGGATTACCACTCTGTCTCCCCAAAGTATACAACCCTTCTCGGTAAAGAGTTCAGTTTGTCTGTTTCTGAAGGGTCTGAATAGTTCGTCCCTGTCCCCTTCCGGCCATCCTTTTCCAACCCAGCTTAGGACTCGCGCCAGCCGCTTGTCTTTATTTGTTTCTCTGGCAATATCTGGCGCGGTCACTAGTGGGTTGGGTATTGTCTCTATTTGAAGTACCTCTGTCGTGGGTGCCGGGTCGTCTTCTAGGTCGGGCAGGGGTGAGCGGCTCAGGGCGTCTGCGTGGGTGATGTCCTTCCCGGGTCGGTGAACCAGCTGGTAATTGTATGCTGACAGGAACTCAGACCACCTTGTCATTCTTGGTGATAGAATGTTCGGTGTGGTCTTATTTCCTGCCAGGATCCCTAGCAGCGGCTTGTGGTCCGTGATGATTGTAAAAGTCCTACTGTAAAGGTATTCGTGGAATTTCTTGATGCCGGCGACGACTGCTAGGGCCTCTTTGTCGAGCTGGCTGTAGTTCCGCTCCGGCTTTGAAAGTGTCCTTGATGAGAAGGCGATGGGTGCTTCCCTCCCGTCTGGTAGCTGGTGGCTGAGGATGGCGCCGATCCCAAAAGGTGATGCGTCGCACATTACCGTTAATGGCAGAGTCTCACTGTACTGGATTAGTACCACGTCAGATGTTAGCAGTTTCTTTGTGTTGTTGAAAGCGCTCTCCTCCCGTGCTCCCCAGGTCCAGGTGGCTGTTTTATCTAACAGCCTATGCAACGGTTCCGCCACGGTCGCCTTTTGAGGTAGGAAGACATTGTAAAAGTTTAACAGTCCCAAGAAAGCCTGCAGTTCCGTTTTGTTTTTGGGTCATGGTGCTTCCCTTATGGCTCTTAGTTTCTTCTCTGTGGGGTGGATCCCTTGTTTGTCTAGGAGGTACCCTAGGAATTCGACCCTCTCAGCCCGTAGCTGGCACTTCCCTTTCTTGACTTTGAGCCCCGAGTCTCTGAATTTCTTCAGTACCTCCCTCAACCGGGCTTCTAGTTGCTTTTCGTTTTTCGCGGCCACTAAGACGTCGTCAAAATAGGGCACCACCCCCTCTATGCCCTGGAGGAGTCTTTCCATGAGGCTTTGGAAGACCCCGGGTGCCATGCTGACTCCGAACTGGAGCCGGTTGCAACGGAAAGCCCCCCGGTGCATTACAATGGTCTGGGCTTCGGCGGTTGCGGCGTCGACCAGCAGTTGCTGGTAGGCTTGCGCCAGGTCGAGTTTGGCAAAGATCCGGCCTCCCCCCAGCGAGTGCAGAAGGTGCTGCACTACTGGGATGGGGTATGCGCTTTGCTGGAGTGCGTGGTTTAGGGTGGCCTTATAGTCCCCGCAAATTCTCACGGACCCATCTGGTTTGATGGGGGTGACTATGGGGGTCTCCCACCTGGCATGATCGATTGGCTCCAGTACCCCTTGCGCGATGAGCTTATCTAGCTGCTCATCGATCTTGGGCTTGAGTGCAAATGGCACTCGTCTGGGCTTAAGGCGGATTGGAGCGATGCTCGGGTCTATATTAAAAGAGATAGGGGACCCCCGGTACTTGCCTAGGCTGTCGTTGAAAACTTCCCGGAAGTCCTCCACGAGCACCGCTTCCCAGTCCGACTCTGCGGTGCGGTGGATTCCGGTTACTTCAATGCCTAGGGGTGCGAACCACTGTAATCCCAACAGGCTCGGACGATCCAGGTCGACGATGGTCAGGGGTAGCACTTCGGTGTGGTTCTTGAAGGTGATTTTAAAATGGCCTCTGCCAACTACAGGGATGCGGTTTCCCTGGTAGTCTTTGAGGGTTAGTGTTTGGTCTTCTAATTCTTTGCGGCGGATGGAGGGAACCAGGCGCTTGATGGTGTGCCATGAGGCCATGGAGAGGGTGGACCCAGAGTCCACCTCCATGTCGCATGGCTGGTCTTCTATCCCCACCGTCATGTATACCTTTCTGGCATCTCTTGTGGAGGAATGGCCGCCGCCGACGGTCTGGTGTGTTTCCTCCCTTTGCCTTGCCTCGTTGAGCCGCCTGTTCCGACCCTCTTGGCTCCAGCGGCTCTCCATCTGGCGGTCTCGGTATCTGGTGGGGGTGTTCTCTTGCCTCCGAGGGCTGCCATCTCGTCGCCGCGGGCTGTAGTGTTTTTTATTCCTGCACACCTTGGCGATGTGCCCCCGTTTCTCGCACTGTCGGCAAACGGCATCAAGGAACCGGCAGTCCGAACAGGGGTGATCGCCTCCGCAGCTGGCACACTGGAACCTCGACTTACAACCTTGGGGTTCCCGTCGCCCTCGTGCTGCTTGCAGGCGGTGGATTTCCTCCTCCTCGTCCTCGGTTCCTGAGAGGGAGTCAATGTCGCCGTGGTGTGTGGTTGCGTCCCGGTGGTCGATCTCGGGTCGCCTTTCGGGGTTCGGTGTCATCTCGCCGGTCGCTGCTCGTGGCGTGATGCTCGATTGCCACATCCGAGCCGCTGATTTCTTGGCCGCTTCAGCCGCGGCTACCTCTGTGAGCGCATCGGCGAGGGAGATGTCGCCCTTCGCCATGATGCGGCTCTGGAGAATGGGGTCTCAGAGTCCCAGGACAACGCGGTCTCGCAGGGCCTCGTCCAGGTCGGCGAACTCACACAGGCCGCCCAAATCTCGTAGTGCCGCTATGAAGTCGCCAAGCCCCTCGCCCTCGCGCTGGTCCCGCCTGTAGAATTCATGCCGCTGGATGAGGATGGGCACGATGGGGGCATAGTGGCTTTGTAGCAGGGGCTCGAGGTTGCCCCACTCCATGGTCTTGACGTCCTCCGGCTTGGCCAAGGCTTTGGCCATCTTAAACACCGCCGGCCCGCAGTGTGCGAGGAATACGGCCCGTTTCTTGTGGCTGTTGGCATCTTTAAGATTGCTACACTCGAGGAACATCTGGAACCTATCGGTATAGGATTCCCA